ATTCTTGTAGTGTACCGTAGGTCTCTTTCCACCACCCACATGGCAGCTCATAACAGTCTGTAACCCAGTTCAGAAGGGTCCGAAACCATTTTTGACTCTGCACACTGGTGCGGGAGAATTGTCTGTATTCTGTCAATCATGTTTTAAATAAACGCTGATTGGCCAGGCAGGAGGTGTAGGTGGGAAACCAAGAGAGGAAGTGGAAATGATGCAAGGAGAGCAGGAGAATTCTGGGAAGGAGGAAGCTGATTCCTCCCACTCCTGCCCAGATCACTGAAGCAGCAGGATGTGAGCTGCCCAACTGATAATGGTACTGAGCCAGATGGCTAACATAGATCAGAAAAATGGGTTAATCAGGATGTGAGAGTTAGCCAATAAGAAGCCTGACCTAACGGGCCAATCAGCTTTATAGCTAATAGAGATCTGTGTGGTTGATTTTCTCTGGGGCCTGCCAGCTGTGGGGTAGCAGGCGGGGACAGAAAGCCAAACAAGCAGGCCCCTTCATGTTACAGAATGGCGCCCAATGTGGATAACTGCATCCACAGAAAGCCTGAGAACACCTGGGAAAGACTAGAGTAAAGCATTTCAGTTTTCAGCTGTAGAAGGAAAAAAGCTGCGCTGTTTTAAAATGCTGGCTTTCTGGGCCGTCCTGCCAGGGAAAACTCTGACTCTTTCAAGCAGGCAGTCCTGACTGGACACAATGTTGCAGCTTGCTTCCTGGCAGGGACCTTGAAATGCCTAAGAGCTTTTGACTGTTGTCTTCTCCATATTCCTTAGCAAATTAAAGACCCATGTGGTCAGAAAAAGAGAGATATACAGTAAGGAGAGATTCAAAGAGTAAGAAAACCTCTAAATGGTTTACAGTGTGTTAAAAATATATGCAGGCTTGAAAAAAAAGGTTTAAAGCCTTAAAATAAAAAAGAAAGAAAGAGAATAGTTGGGTGTGGTGGTACACACCTTTAATCCCAGCACTGGGGAGGCAGAGACAGACGGATCTCTGGGAGTTCAAGGATAGCCTGGTCTACAGAGAGAGTTCTAGGACAAAGATATGCAGAGAACCTGTCTCAAAAAGCCAAAAGTTGAAAGTAAAAATAAAAGAAATAGAGGTTAAAATAAAGCTGCATAAAGATGGAAAATGTACAGAGAATCTTGATACTATTTGCTATTATGCTCTCTTTAAATTGTTTAAATGCTGAGGAAGGAGCAACAGCTGCTAAAAGATATTTGCTTATAAATGCTGCAGAATTAATCCAAGATAGGTATTTTGAAAATATCTTGGCTTCAAAATTGAAGTCAAAAAGTATGTTACTTTGGAGAAGAGATTTTGCTTTTGTTTCCACAGAAAACGAGAGGCTCTGGATTTATTCAGAGTTAAGAAAAATCACCTTTGATCGAGGAAGGCCACCTGAAAAATCTCCTGCAGGAATAGATGGCCCAGGTATCTGAGTTCTTCATCCAGAACAGATTCAAGACTGCTGCCTGAGATGATCAAGACTCACAGGATACTTCAGTCAGGACTTGATCATAACTCTAAATTTTCTTTAGGTCCCCATAAGATTATCAGCGCCCCTAACCAGCAGGAAGTAGCCTGGAATACTACGCCCACATTCCCAAAAAAATGGACTATGGATATTTTCCTTGGTTTGTTTGTTTGTTTAAAAAAAAGAGGGGGAAGTGGTGCAGGAGAATTGTCTGTATTCTGTCAATCATGTTTTAAATAAACACTAATTGGCCAGGCAGGAGATGTAGGTGGGAAACCCAGACAGGAAGTAGAAATGATGCAAGGAGAGCAGGAGAATTCTGAGAAGAAGGAAGCTGATTCCTCGCACTCCTGCCCAGATCACTGAAGCAGCAGGGTATGAGCTGCCCAACTGAAAAAGGTACTGAGCCACATGGCTAACATAAATCAGAAAAATGAGTTAATCAAGATATGAGAGTTAGCCAGTAAGAAGCCTGACCTAATGGGCCAATCAGCTTTATAACTTACAGAGTCCTGTGTGTGATTTTCTCTGGGACTAAACAGTTGGGGGGCCGGGCAGGACAGAAACACAAACAAGCCAGCCCCCTTATGTTACAGCACATACCAGGCATGCATGTGATACACATACATATATGCAAGCAGAACATTCATACACATAAAAAATAAGTCATGTTTAAACACTGTAATAGCTAAAGAATTGCTAGTATTGCTTTAAAGAACTAGAACTTGATCAGATTATATAACTTCTTGTTCCCTGGTTTTCTTCTGGAAGACAATAGTGAAGGAAATCATTTGGCTTTTAACACAACTACTGTTTTCTCAATTGAAAAGGGATGATACTTTTAGCCAAGAGCAGAGTGTAGAGTTATAGGCCATTGAAGAGCTACAAGCTATAGTTAGCTGTGGATCTGGGAACCATTTCGGTTAAGCAATAAAGTCACCAACTGGCAATATTTTCCCATGTGTAATTTCAAAATCTTTGTGCAGCAGTGATGGCTATATTCTCCTGCTCTTCCAGGTTTGGAGGAGAAGTGTTGATGACTCTTGGGTCCATTTCATTGTTTTACGTGGATACTGAATAAAAGAAGACATTTACCTTCATATCTCAGACTCTAGAACAAGAAGAGTCATAGCTAAGCCATATCCAGGCATAATAGCTTAAGTCTGCTATTAGACAGGAGGCTTAGCATCCTAGAATAATGGTGAAAACATTGAGAGAAATTAATATTTATGATAATATATTCATAGAAAAATACGAAGTTGAACATAATTTCTCCTTATTTTTGTATCCATATCTCTGTCACACAACTTCAGGTGAAAAGTAGAAGCTATTTCTCTCATCTGAGCTATCATATCTTGTGTTACTTAATATAACATTAACAACATGCATCCGGCAGATGCCTAAGCACTGCCCAACCTGTGTTTCTAGGAACCCGCATGCAAAGGAACCCAGATGTTCACTCAATAAACAATCCTAGCAACTGTCATATGTGTGAGACCACTCTCCTAAGAAGTGCTCTTACCTGGTGAGTTCACCATCCCTTTCGAAGCTAAGAGTGAATGTAGAACATTTATTAACCAGTACTTTCCCCCTGTAAGCAAGTACCCACAGAAAGATGCTATTATTTAAAAATGTATGACATCATTTATATTTAACTAACATTATTTATTACTGCACAAAGGTAGAATAAAAAACAAGATTCCTTTCACAAAAAATAATTGTAAGAGCTTTTACACTTTTCTTTCTAGGAAGGAATTAAAGTATACCTATACTCTGACTCTGAAGAGAAATGAATATGAGAATTTTTTTATTTAAGGAATCATTAAGATGCTCATTTTGGTTGCTCCTATTAAAACAGCACTCTTATTCAAGAATGTCACTGCCTTTTCCCATTGGTTACAACTATATATAACTTTATCGCTTCTCCACCTTTGGGAAAAAATAAACAGTGTGACGTTAAGTCTTCAGGATATCACAAGAGAAAGAAAGGTGAGTAAAGAAAATAGTTATGATCCATCATTGGCTGTGTGCTATTATTGTTGTATAAAAAATAATACAAATTGGTTTAAGTAGGAGTAGTTATTTCTCTTTTTAAGTCCATGCTGGACCTCAGTATCCATAACAATATCTAGTGGATAATGTCTCTACTAAAAGACAAAAGGAAAAGATAGCTATGATTCATGCTAAACCCTAGTCTTATCTTAATTATTGTCCCACGTATGTATCTTTAGGAAACCCAATTGCCTCTTTTTCTATGTCTGTTGCAAGTAATCAGCAAAGAGATCCATATCACAACACACTAATAATACTCAGGTTTGGAATAATCACCACACATCTGTGTTTGCAACTTCTTAGACCTCGTAGAAATTAGCAATATGTTGTGAAAGTGAATTAGAAAATATTAGCAATGTTTTCATGTACTTTAGGACATACCAAATAGCACTCCAGAGTACACAGTGTGCCGATTTACATCTAAGCAATTCTCAAGAGATTGCAGGGCCCCTGAGAGCTCAGAGCATCTGTCTGCTGGCCTGCTTTGCTGACTGACTGGCTAGCTTTGCTGATCTTGCAAGCCAAGGGATTATTAGAGTGACCACATGCCCTGTGCTTTTGTTTCTTTGTTTTTTTGTTTTATTTTGAGGTGGAGATAGGAAAGTTGACTAGGGCCCCAGAGATCTGAGGAAAAAAGAAAGAAACAGGAGGAGGGAAGAGAAATTTGCAGAGATAGGTGCTTTCTGTTGTACAAGTCAAGAGAGAATGTAAGAGTTGGATTCTTGTAGAAGCAAACTAACAACATAGTTTAACAATAGCCCACAGGGATGCCAAGATAATATCTTCTGAAAAAAATGTCTCTAAACTACATCAAGAACTTCTACGAAGGATGTGTAAGTAACAAACAAGAAGTTCAATTGTACGAATTTTTGTCTGTGTATTTTTAACCTCGTTGGCATGTGTGTTGATGGACATATTAACTGTACATTTACAAAGAAAATAACTTACATAACAACCATGTGCTGTAAAATAGTCTGAATTTAAAATTATAGACAGATTAATCCTGGAGATACTTTTATCCATTGATGCTTTAAAGTAGCTCACACTCTTAATTCAATATTAAGTATGGAAAGAAAAAAAAAACCTAAGTAAATGCTGTTCTGTCATTTTGATAATGTTCTGTCATTTTGATAGTATTTATTCTAAGATTAATGTTGTATTATGATCTAATCTTCCAATGGGGCAATCAGACATTGTAAGATTTATGGTTTTAGTTCCAAGAGATTACATGAGAAAGAAATATTCATTGAATTCAAAACTATTTAAAACGTTTCAAAACTTCCCTCTTTGGTTGCCAATAGAGCCCGATTTGACGACTGCAGTCTATAATTGAAGAGTAAAGCAGCACAGAACTCTTGCAGGGTTTACAGTCAATTTGATAATCTCAAGCATCTGTCTTGCTTCAAAGCTTCTCAGACTTTAATATTTCAAAGTACTTTTTGATGTGATCATAAAAATATCCTTCAAAATCTCCTTTCCGAATGTTCCTTTTCCAACCCAGTTTGTCCTCCTCCAAAACCAACAGGTTAAACCTCCAACTGTGGTCGGCCAGTTCCACACCCTCTTCTTCGGCTCTGTGAGGATGTTCTTCCTTGGAGTGCTGGGCTTTGCGGTTTATGGGAACGAGGCTTTGCATTTCAGCTGTGAGCCAGACAAAAGAGAGATAAATCTGTTCTGTTACAATCAGTTCAGGCCAATAACTCCCCAAGTAAGTGTTCCAGTGTGGACGCAAACATTGACTCCCCAGCACACAGATTGTTTTTCTCCTGTAGTTTTGAGAATTACTCTTTCACTGTCTGAATCTTTGAGAAAATGTAACTTGCGGTCCTTAAAAAGTCCATTCAAATTCAGTATTCTGCTATTTATCGATATGTTTAGCATAAAGACATTAAGCAGCTATTACAATCAGGTAATTTGTCATTATCACTAGTGGGTAGGCAGGGATAGTAAAATATGATCATGTTTTCCAGTTGCCATATATTTAAAGTTGTAAAATCTTAGAAAATAAATGATATATGTAAACACTACTGCATTTGTTTATCATAATTTCATTTTTATAAGGCATCTGTGGAACTTCTTAGAATTTTTAGGTTAGCCCTTTCTGGATGTGAATTTTCCATGTGTTTTTGGTGGCATGTTTATTTGAGTTGACTAAAATAGTTCTGATACATTTTAGGTGTTCTGGGCATTACAGCTAGTGATTGTCCTGCTTCCTGGGGCGATTTTCCATCTTTATGCCGCATGTAAAAGCATCAACCAAGAATGCATCCTTCAAAAGCCCGCGTACACTGTGATTTACATCCTCTCCGTCTTGTTGAGGATCAGCCTGGAGGTGGTAGCATTTTGGCTTCAGATTCATCTCTTTGGCTTCCAGGTGAAGCCTCTATACTTGTGTGATGCTGAATCCCTCGGTAAAAAGATAAATGTTGTAAAATGCATGGTTCCAGAACATTTTGAAAAGACTATCTTTCTCATTGCAATGTACACCTTTACTGTAATCACCATTGTATTGTGTGTTGCTGAGATTTTTGAGATCATATTCAGAAGATCATGTTTCCTATTTAAACAATGACATGGTTGATTGTCTAAAGTCATGCAATAATTCCGATCAATCTTTATGTTTAGTTTTCTCATCAAGTACCTCAATTCCATATGTTCTATAAATTTTGGTGTATCTGTAATTTATGTATAATAGAAATAGATAACAAGTTCTAAACTAGGTGGTTTTGAGCAAATATTTCCGTTTTTATTTTATCACTTATTCTATGATAATGTACACATAAAACTAATTATAATTCATTTTAAAATAGTGATTTTATAGGCTTCTCTCATATACAACATTTTAGGTGATTGCATTATTTTATGCAAAGAAACTTCTTACCTCGGCTAGAGACTGGGAAACTGATATTCAGAGTTGTTATGTTCAGAAGGTCACTCAACCAAACTAGAATCTGGGTCTTCTCTATCCATTAAACCATAGAGTTTAAACTTTGAGGACATAATTATCTTTGCATTTGTGCAAAATATAATTTTAAAAACAAAATATAAATTAATTAAAAGTCATTAATAGTTTTATTACTAACTCGGAGATAATGAACAATTGAATCTTTAATAGTAAACCTATTTGTTTTCCCAATATTTTGTTTTCCAAAAATTTTAATATTAAATGATCATGGAGATAGTTAAGGAATAAATTAGAGCTGCTGTAATAACATTGTGCATGGCTTCCTTGTTTCCTGTTGTGCCTATACAAATCCTGTTTTTGTATAACTTCCATATTTAAAGTCATTTGAATGGAAAATTTTGTTTACATTAAGCTATAATTCCTCAATGATTTTGAAATTATCACATAGGTAATTTTACAGAAAATCAGTGCATTCTATTTGTCTTTATTTTCAACAACTGTCCTCACTAATGTCATTTAAAAATATTTATGTCCTACTGTTTTATGCTGGTATTTTAGTAGGGAACCATACATAGTCTATCAAATATTGAAATTGTGGAATTTTATTAAGCATCTTTTAGCCTGTTTGATGTTACAAATTCCATATTAGGAATTTAAATCATTGATCTTGTGCCACATAAAAGCATAGAAGAAAATTCAACTTAGTTTCACTCAACAAATAGCTTCTGAGGACCTATTATTTCATATGTACTACATTGCTAGGTCAAATTTAAAAACAAAACAACTTGGTACCCAAAGTTGTTGGGTGGTGCAGTGATAAGTCAAGAGAATGGTGACCTGAAATAATGCAAATAAACTGTAAATAAAATAAAGAATAAGATGATGAGCAAATGTCTAAGTATTTGAGAAATCACTGACAAATTTACATTAATCCATGGACTAAGGAAGAACTGACATCAGAAGTTACAAGGTACTATAAGCCAAATGATAATGAAAACAGTTTATTGAAATTTGTTACAAGAATTAAAACAAAGTTGGCAGCCTATAGCAGTCCTATATTTTGCCATTAAAATTATAAATTTATTTATCTCTGTGCTTTAAGAAATTAGCAAAGCAACTAGCTAAAATCATTAAATAGGCTAGGAATACAAATCACATGAAATATAGAAATATGAAATGAAATTTAAACAAAAATGGATTAAACACATGGTGATTATTTCAAAGTTTAGTAAAACCAGTAACATTTTAGTTTTACAGTATTAGATAATAAAGAACAAAAGAAGAAATCAATCTTATGAGAAATGAAAGGTGATAGGACCTTAACATGGTCAGAAGGATACTTGAACAATGTAACACTAAGCTTGATGGATGAAGAAATTCTTTGAAATGCTTATTGCTAAGACAAAAGAAACTGATAAAATACACAGACCATAAATATTCTTAAATTTATTAAATAAATTAAGATGTAAGCCCTTTTCTTGAAGAAGACTCCAGATCCAGCTGGCCTCTCTTGTCAAATTCACCAAATGTTTAAGGAAGAGATACAATTACAAAATTTCTTTAGAAAGAAAGACCAAAGAACCTCCCAGTTTCCTGGGCAAGATTGTGTCAGAACAAGGAGAAAATATTCCCATTTTGTATAAAGAGAATAGCATAGCATAATTTTGTTATTGAAATTTCCTAGAAAAATATCTTAGCACACATAATCCAACTATGGATGCAGATAGAACATGTGCAGGTTGAGTTTATCCTGGGAGTGACAGATTTTTCAAACACTTAAAAGACAATTAATGTAATTGAACTGTATTAAAAGAAGAAATCACATAGTCATCTTAACAGGTGCAAATAAAAGCATTTGATTAAATTTAACAGTCATTTCTGACGAAATAAAAAAATCAAACATTTTACTTAATAAGAACATAATCTAAATTTTATTTTAAAAATATATAAAGGAATATTAGAAAATACCCCATAATATTGAAAAGAATGAACAATTCCCCCACGATTTGAACAAAGAGAAGCATTTCCACTTTTCTTGTTTTTGCTGAATCTGAACTGTAGTTCACTAAGAGAAAAACAAATAGATAGATAGATATAAATATAGATATATTCCAGATGATCTCGTGAGTAAACTCAATAAAACCAAATAAAAGATACAAGGATTGGAAAAAAAGAAATATCATCTATATAAACAGTACACAGAAAATTCTAAAACATAAAAACCCTAAAATGATAATGAAATGCAAAAAAACCCATGCTTTAAAACAGTAAAATATCTAAATTTGCAAAAGTATTTCCATTTATAATATACTAAAAATATCAGAAAACAAATTGGAAAATTTCACACAGAATTTGCTAGATAGGTACAATAAAAATAATGCAGTAATCCTGAAAGAAATTAAATTAGATAAATAAAACATAACTGTGTTGATAGCCTTAATCACTTAGAACTTCTGGTGACTCACATAGAACTATAAATTCAATATTTTTGTGAATACTTGAAAGTAGAATCTAAATTTTATATGAAAATACAAACAAAAAAACATGATAGAATAAATTTCATAAAAGGAAAAAATCCTTTATTTAAGTACAGCAAGCCATGATGTGGAATTCCCCTCTGTATGCTGTAAATACCATTGGTTAGTAAAGAAACTGTCTTAGGCCTGCGCAGGGCAGAATATAGGTAGGCAGGAAAAATAACTGAATGCTGCGGGGAAAGAAGGCAGAGTCAAGGGGAAGCCATGGAGCTTCAGCCAGAGACAAACATGCCAAAACTTTGCCAGTAAGCCACAGCTACATGGTGATACACAGATTAATGGAGATGGGTTAATTTAAGATATAGGAGTTAGCCAGAAATAAGCTTAAGCTATTGAGTAAACAGTACTGAAAATAATATAGTTTCTGTGTGGTCATTTCATATCTGAGCAGCCAGGAACAAACAAGTGGCCCACTAACAACAAATTGGTGTACCAATGTGGTCGACTAAATCCACATAAAACCTGAGAAAGTTATAAAAGCTCTAAGAGGAATTCTAGACACACAAAAAACCAAAGTTAAGCACTTTTCTCAGGTGGGCTCTGTTTGCTAGAAGCAAGCAGAGGCACAATTATTTTAAGAGAAGATTTCAGCCATAGCATCAAAAACCACGTGGTTTCAAAACAGTGGCTTCCTAGTTAATCAGCAAGAATGGCTCTGAGTCTTTCAGGATACCAAGCATTTAAATGGGGTTTGTGGGTAGTGTGCTGCAAGTTACTTGGTGGCAGCATGGGCACACTGATTATCAGAGTTGAGGTGGTAAGGATGGCTCACACCTGGCAGTCTCAGAGGCAGTGAACAGACTTCCACCATGTTGGACTGGGAGGAGCAAGCAGGCAGGTCCATATTAGCCCTAGTAACACCGCAGCTTAGGATTTTAAGAAGCACCTAGCATTTAAGAAGCTTTCCTGGTCAGAAAAGGATTAAAAATACTCAATAATGACAGATTAAGACATAAAAGATCTCTAAATGAGACACACTGTGTTTATAAAATGTATGTAGGCTTGGGAGAGAGAAGAAAAAGAGTAAAGAGAGAGTAAATACAATAAAAAAAAGAGTACAGACAGTCATAGATTAAAGGAATAAAGATAATAAAATAAATATTAAACTTGTAAAAAAGTAATAGAGTAATAAAAAGCCACATAAATATAGAATATAGAGAGAAAATCTGATTTATGTATATTATTGTGTTTTCTTTAAATTTTTTGACTGGTAAAGAGCTACATAATGGGAGACATTTCATTGTGTGAACTGCTAAGTTAAGCCAACATAAAGGTATCTTGAATTCAAAATTTGAGTCTAAGGATATGTTGCTTTGGAAAAGAGGTTCTGCTTTTGTTTCCACAGAAGTTGAGAACATATGGATCCCTTCCAGACTAATGTGGTTTGATGCACCAAGAACCCCGAAAGGTCACCATGAACACCCCCCAAAATACTTCGCCCAACAAAAAGCAGGAAGCAGTTTGGAGATAACTACACCCATATTCCCAAATATTACTTATATATGTTTGTTTACAGTTAAATGAGGATATGTTATAGATATGAATAATTTGCATTGGATTTTGGTTTAATGATATAAATTTAAGGTCAATCTGGTTATATGTATTATATTTCTGCTCTTGGTTAAGGTATTGTGTTTGTACAGCTCTTTTAAAAATGTAATATATAATTAAAAAATATAAGTTAATAATCATCCATAATAGTCAAGCTTGTAGTCATGTTAGTTAGGTTTTCTAGATGTACAAAGATATTCTTCAGAGCCTTCAAATACTACAAAATATGGCATTTGAAATGTTTTAAGAACTTAGTACTTTTCATGACAATGATACAAATCTGTTCCTGGCAGCACCAATTACTTCAAGAGGAAGATGGGCAACCAAGAGTTTGTTAGCCATTTGGGCAAGAAACTGCTCTTGCCTGAACTTAATGCTGTGCTATATGAACTGGATATGCAGGACCCACAGAGCAATGACTGCTGAAGTTGCCTAAAGGTGAGATGATCCTTCTGGCTTCCTGCTTCATGAAAGAGTCTGCTAGACATTCTATAAGACACAGAAAAATGTGACTGACAAACTGTCAAAATAGGTAGAATTGTCTTTGAAATTTCCTGCTTCGTGGGAAAGTCTGCTGGATACTATGGGCCTATAGGATGAAGATGGATGCCCCATGGTACAGAAGAACTTTAGGTGACTGTCCAGGTAGCAAGATATCTCTGTCATTTCAAGAGTTTTGGAAGTTGATTTCAATGCACTTACTGTTAACTTAGGTAATATTATATCCTTATAGAGTCTTTGATGGAGTTGAAGAATAGATAAAGTTATAGTTTTCCTTATTTATGATAAAAGATAAAGTAGATATAAATATTGTAACTTTAATTCTTGCTTAATACCTGTTTTGTTATATGTAATTTTTCTAGGTTAAAGTTAAAACCTTCCTTTTTATTTAAACAGAAAAGGAGAAATTATGTGGGAAACCCTTATGTATATGTGTTGCTTTTATTGATTAATGAAAGAAATTACCTTGGCCTGTTGATAGGGTAGAGCGGAACTAGGCAAGAAAAACTGTACTGAATTCTGAGAGAAAGAAAGCAGAGTCAAAGAGATGCCATATAGCCACTGCCAGAGACAGATGAATCTTGCCAGTAAGCCATGAGTCTTGTGGAAAATACAAAATAATAGAAATCAGTTAATCACTATAGTTTCTGTGCATTTATTCCAGGGCTGAGCAGCCAGGAACAAACAAGTTGTCTCCTACAATAAAGCCAAAAAACAAACAAGCATAAAACTCTATTCATAATAGGGGAGGAAGAAAATAGAAAATGACCTAACTAACCAGACAAACAGAAAGCAAAAACATAAGTTAGCAAATCCTCCACAACAAACTGAAACACAAATGACCTTAACTCATCTAAAAGATGAGACTAACTGCCTGTATTAAAAAATAAAATCTAAGCTTTGCAAAGATCACTCAGTAGTTACGAGTAGGTATGTTCTTCCAGAAAGTTTGACTTTAGTCCCAAGCACAGGTTACAGGCAGTATACAACTACCTGACCTCTAATTATGGGGTCCAAAGCACTCTTCTCACCTCTGTAGGGGAACACACACACACCACACACACGCGCATGCACTCACAGTCACAAAACAAACACACATACATAGACATTTTTCTAAATCTTTAACGAAATATAACAGCTATTTATACTAAGAAATACATCTCTGATAAAGTCACCTAGAAACTGAGACTGAGCCTCAAAGAACTACAACATAACTATTAAGTAAATAGAAACAAACCAGGCTGGTGTAGTATTCTGATATCGAATTGACTTCAAATCTAAATTAATAAAGACCACTATATACTAGCCAAGTGATAAAGTGAATATCATATAATAAATGTAAATATAGCAAGTATCATTTCAATGGATACTTGGGTCCATGATTTCATAAATTAAACAGTAATGTACATTACAGGTCAGGCATGTGCCAAGATAATCAACACCCCAGATATCAATACGCTGTTTTTATCCTCAGAAAAGCCTTTCAAAATAGACATCAACAAAGAAAGTTTACAGTCAAACTACATCGCAGACCAGTTGGATGTAATAGTTATCTACAGAATTTTTGTCTAATACATACAAAAATATACTCTTCTACTCATCCTATAGAAATTTTTCTATCATAGAACATATTATAGGCCATAAAACAAGTCTAGAGAGAATTGAAATAATTCAGTGTATCTTGTGAGACAATAAAGGAATCAAACTAGAAACCCCAGCAAGAGAAATCACAGAAACAACACACATGTTTAAAGACTGAACAATACGCTTGAGAAGGAGCAGCAGATCATTACCCAAATCAAGGAAGAAAATTTAAAACCTACTAGAACAAAATGAAAATGACAGCACAACTTATCAGAACTCTGGAATACAGCGAAGACAGCTGTTAGCGGGAAATGACATCTATAACTGCCTGCACTAAAAAAAAATCAAGAAGATTGCTTTTTTTTTTTAAAAAAAAAAAGAGGCCACTAAAGGCAAAAAATGAAATGCAATTCCTTAAGGATGCTATGGATGCTATTATGGAATAGGGAGGAGGTACTGGTAGAAAGAAAAGGTAAGGCATTATTTAAAATGACCTGAGTCAGAAGTGTTGAATAAATCTCCAGGATCTATCTTTACAAGAATTAAAATCGGGTAATACTTCCCAAATGTTCCTCATCTTCTGAGAATAATAAACTTAAACAGTGTTATTTTATGAAAATATACAGTACCCAGATCAGAGCAAGTATTCAATTTTCATTAATTTCCATGTATTTAGCTTTCAAGTTTGAAAAGGGCTGGCTATTTAGTCTAATATGTGAACATGCAAATTTTTAATTTAAACAAGTACTTCTTATGCAAGAATTTAGAGCCTCTAAACCAAAAGCAGTGGCTACTTCCAGATCCACCTTCGTTGACTTACATGTTTGCAGTATCTCCACCGTTTGTAGAAAGGCTGCACTGTGTACTTTTTGGTGAATGTTTAAACAATTTTATTTTGTGATCATTTGTTCTATTAATATTAGTGAACCCAGGGGCTGGAGAGATGGCTCAGAGGTTAAGAGCATTGCCTGCTCTTCCAAAGGTCCTGAGTTCAATTCCCAGCAACCACATGGTGGCTCACAACCATCTGTAATGGGGTCTGGTGCCCTCTTCTGGCCTGCAGGCATACACACAGACAGAATATTGTATACATAATAAATAAATAAATAAATAAACAAATAAATAAAATATTAGTGAACCCAGCCACTACTAAAAGCTCTGTGAGCTATCAATATTGCATATGGCTGTAATCACTACTAACTGGGAAGCTCTGGATATAAAGTTCAAAGACTGATTTGACAACTTAGTGAGACCATACACACACACACAAGAGATGGAGAGAGACTTAAAATCTAAGGACACACAGGAGGAGAGGGAGAAAGAGAGAGAAAGAGGAAAGGAGGGAGGGAGGAAAGGAGGGAGGGAGGGAAGGAGGGAGGGAGGGAGGGAGGGATTGAAGGGGGGGCGAAGGTTAATATATACAAAATTAAGATTGGGGTACTGGAAGTTATAGGACGCCTTTTTTTTCTCCCAGTAAATAAACTTTACTTTCTTATTTTCCCCTTTCTTCTCCTTCCTTTTGTTCCACATCAAAAAATAAAAATAAAAAATAATTTAAAAAAAAAATCGAAGTTAAATTTGAAAAACCGCTTCTTTTTCTTACCAGCAGAGAGCGCTGCTGCTGTGTGTAACACCAAAGACTCACATAACCCGCGTTATAGCTGCCTTGAGCGCGGCAGCGAAGTTTGTCTCTTCCGGGCATCCGTCCCGCCCAGCCGACAAGCCGCTGAGCAACGGCAGAGTGGGTGGGATTTGCTCCGCTCGGAGGCGGAAGCGGAAGTGTTTGTGGCCGGCTAGTAGGAAGTGGCGCTTCCGGGAGTGGAGATGGCCGCACTGGCCCCGCTGCCGCCGTTGCCCGCGCAGTTTAAGAGCATACAGCATCATTTGAGAACGGCTCAGGAGCATGACAAGCGGGACCCCGTGGTGGCCTACTACTGTGAGTCCCTCCGTGTCGCCGCGCTCCGTTCTCGAGGCCCGCCCGCCCCGCACCCTGCTTTAGACCTGAGCCTTGACCTCTGTCCCGCCCCGGGAAGCCCCACGCTCCTTAACGTGGGGTTAAGTTTCTCGGGACTGCCTACACGGGCTCTTCAGTAGTCTGCACACTCTCCCTGTTTTCTGTGTGTTCACGAATGCTGCCAGGGTAGCCGAGCCCTTGTGACGGGGTGAGACGCAGATAGGTGGCCCAGAGATGGGCGGGAAGGTAAACTCATAGGAAACATAACAAAAAGTGCCGGTTGATTCTGACAGCTTTGGGGTTCAGCGGAGTGTGTCTGCTACTGGAGACTTGAATTGACCTGTTCTTGACTTCTGTTTTCCATACGCAGCTTTCCCACCATTAAGACTTTTCAGTCGTTCTTTTGTGGTTCTGAAAGTTGAGCAGTTTAATAACAAAGTTTTCCCCGTTTGAGGTGTATATACTCTACCGCTGAAGGGAAAACGGGTCTAACTTTGTTCAGGCTTTTGGAGTTGGTGATATGGGTAGTGCTAGTAGTTTCATGTAAACTATATTTTGAATTTTAGATTCATATCTTTGTTGCAAGAAATGACTGTTCTACTCTGAGCCTCTAAAGAACTTTCAGAATAGAGAAACTCAATTTATGAGTCCTCTGTTGTGGACATTGTTAGGAAAAATCTGGACCCAGTCATCCCATCCCATCTCTATATGTGCCCCATTTCTCAGATGTGCATGGATATTGTGTGTCGTCTTCCAAGCGATAGGTGACCGTACTTCATCTGGAGTATTATTTTCACCATGCTTGCTCTTTTAACTTCCTCAACCAAGTATTAATCATCGCTCAGGCAGCATGTAATTATTGAGTCTTTTTACCTGGTGCCAGGTGTTCCTAGGTACTGCAAAAAACACCGTTCTTAGAACTAATGAGAGTAGATTGCTTAGAGAATACTCCTGCATCATATAAAGAGCCAGGAAAGGGAAAAGAAGTGCCAGAAGAGTGGAGAGGGGATTTTATTTTTCTTTGTTCAGAGGGTCCTTCACTGAGCTGACCATTGAAGCCAGTGCTTCATGGACATTTGGGGAAGAATATAGCTTTAGACAGAATAAAAGTCTGAAGACTCAGAGACAAGTTTAAAAGAGGGGCTAGAGCCAGAGAGAAGCTGGTTCATGAACAAAGAAGCAATGTCTCTGAACTGGGAAACAGGGCCCTTTGTTCCCCTCTAAGCGAATCCCTGCTCCTATCACTATGCACCTTTGTGACTACCTAGGATTGATTCCTTCCTGTATCATCATGCTCATTCTTGCCCTTTGTTCTAAGCTTGTTCCTGATATCCTTTGTTTTAACATAAAAAATTAAAAAATGATTTCCCAAGATAGCACCCTAAAATTGAGCCTTATCACTGCACCTTTTAGGTAAACTTGAAGTGAGAGTCCACTCTTGTCCTCACCCCTTCCTGGTAGGGACCGTTTATCCTGCTGCCGTCTGGTTTTCATGTCTGTTTCCGTGGAATCCCTCTCCCTAGAGTCTTGAGTGGGCATTTTTATGACAAAGTCCATTTGGCTGTAATACAGTTTTTGTTGTAAGACTCGTGTATAAGATAATGCATGATGTCCATACAGCGTTTAAGAAATGATGGGAACATATTAATGTACTCACATTTGGTGTTGCTAGAGCTTTTCATTTTTGCTAATTTCATGCTGTGGATGCCATCTCTTTGAAGTGACATTTGCAATTCTCTGAGTTTTAATAAGGGTCAACATCTATTCATATGCTAATTATGCATGTGCTTTCCTTTTGAACTGCCTTTTTGTTGTTTGCCCATGCTTCTATTAAACTGTCCTTTCTTAATAATATATACTAATCCTTTGTTGCATGTATTGCAGGTATATTCTCCAGTACATGGCCTGGTTTTTCTTCAGGAAGTTCTTTTTCCAAAATGCTTAATATAAATTGTCTGTCAGTTTCTAAGGTACATTCTAGTTTTCTAGGCCTTGATTTCTTCTGTGTGCTCACTTGGGATTTGTTTTCTTAAGACTATAAATGGATTTTTATCAATTATAGGAAATTGCATTGTTGCTGCTTCTTTGTTAAGCTGCTGTGAAGTATTTATTACATATATGTTTTCCTTTTCCCTTTAATTCTCTTCTTTCATTTATCATCTGTGTTATGTTGTGTAACTCCTTAAGACCTGTCTTAACCTCCACATATTCTGTTGCTTAACACATCTATTGAGTTAAGTTCAACTTTTATTTTTTTATTTCAGAATTTTGTTTGTTTTCAAATCTGCCTGGCCATTTTTGATAGTTTTCTTATTACTGAGTTTATCGTTGAACCTTTTAAATTAGATTTGTTGCCCCCACATACTCTGTATGCTTTCAAATACGAAAAGCTTTTTATATCAACATGATGGCATTTAAAGACAGGTGATCCCAGCAGCTAACTGCCAGGCAGCCTGGCCAGTGGGATGAACTGCAGGTTCAATGAGAGATCTTGCCTCAGAAAATAAGGTGAGAAAGCAACAGAGGAAAACAGCCAACCTTAATCCCTGCCTCCATACATGCCTGCATAGAGAAGCAGAAAATTCTCTGCTGTTGTTGTTGTGTATAAAGTATTTATTAAACGAAACTCTATGTCTATACTTGGATCCAGTTCAAGGTACAGATACCATTGTAGTTAGGAGTTTCTATGACTATGAAATCCAAACTATGTGTGTTAGATTTATTCCTGAGTAGTTATGGGACTTCCCAAGTGAATCCTGGACCTAATAGGGATTGTCCTAGTCCTGTATTTTCCAAGCTCCCTTAGCACTGTTACATTTGTAGCATGCCTGCTCTTTTGTTTCCTTTCGAAATCAGAAGTGAATGCTGCAACACTGTACTAGATTATCTTTTGTCCCTCTTGGGCAGTATGAAGATGTTTAGTGTCCCATGCCTAAACTGTTTAGCATAGTCACAGCAAAGCAGTAAATTCTCCACAGGGGAAAACCTGTTCTTCAAGAACCAGTCCCATAAGTTCATCTTGTTCTGTTGGGTTGTGTTTTTTCAGATCTACTCACCTCTCTCCTTCCCAAATGCTGAGATTACATGCATCAAAACATTTAATTTTTAAATTAAGCTTTTCTTCGTTTGAAACTGCTCTTGATCCATGCAGGTGTAAAATATAATACAGAGAAAGCCTGTTGTCCCACAAAAATGCCATGTGATGTCATGGCCAGAATATTGAGATTTGTACAATCCACCAGTGTTTTCTCTGATTTCCAAGTCTTGCGTGCATTTTTTTCATGTGTTTACACACTTAGTTCTAAACAGTTTTGTCAGTGTAGATTCCTATGTTTACCATGACAGTCAAGACACAGCAGTCTAAGAATCCATTCCAGAGAGCATGGTTGGCCCGTGGACTATAAGGCAATAGGATGTCCAAATAAGACATGTCTTAGGAATATGCTCGCTTTATTCAGACAAACATTCTTTATATTGTCAAGCTAATATAAAAGATAATAGAAATCTCCCCAAGTGGTGAACAGTTGTTTTAGGAGACATGCTGCTGAGGGTTCCAGTGGGAAATGCTCTCTTGTAAGAACTCTTCAGAAGCTTGCAGGCGGCACCCACATCCACCATGACGTCCTTCAGCTGCGGCCGGCTGGGGTTATAACACTGATGGAGGTCCCAGACGTCCTTGAGAGCACAGACCAACTGCTAGTGCTGGCAGATGGGCCCAACAACCACAGTGCTGGAATTTCAGTGGTCACTGAGGCTAGGGCCACACATGAGTCTCAAGTCCTCTTGCCAATTGACATCAACACAGAAGCTGGAGAAGCCATGTCTCCAGAGCAGTGTGATCCAGAAGACCATTCCCAAAGTTCCAATTTTTGTATCATTTAGCTGGCTGGTAGCCGTGTGTTCTCGGGACTCACAGCTCAAGACTGATTCACTAGCAACTCAGCACCACCTTGGGGTCAGCGTGTTAAAATATCAGGGCCCCTGTCTGAAGTAGCCTGCTAAGAGACTTGTTTTTGAGGCATAACTTTTACCAGAGCTGCCTGATAGCAAGCGCAGTCGTCATATTATTTCAGATTACATAAAATGGTTTCTGCGGCACACAAAAGGCCCATTATATTCGTCATGGTGCCTTTTACAGCACCTACCTTACTTTCCACACCACCTTACCTCTCTGTCCTAGCAGCCACTAATCTGTGATTGATGTGGGAGGGCCCAGCCCTTGTAGGATGTGCCATCGCTGGGCTGCTGGTCTTATATTCCATAAGAAAGCAGGCTGAACAAGCCTGAGGAGCAAGCCTGTAAGTAGCACTCCTCATGGTCTCTGCTTCAACCTCTGCTGCCAGGTTCCTGCCCTATTTTAGTTCCTGTCCTAACTGCTTTTGATGATGACTAAGATAATCAGTAATAAGTGTTAGTTAAAATGAAAACCATCTTTTTAATGTGAAAATTAAATTTAGTGTAGGTAAGCGTACTAAAATCATCACCGACATGATTAAGAGGTTTGGCACAAAGTTTTAGAAGGCATTTTGGGAAAATGGAAATATATAGCATACATACATATATATAGTTTAGTGGTTCCAGTTTGGAGGAACTTGTGATTAGGAAATTATCACAAATACCGAAACAACTTTAATCAGAATTTCATGAAGTATTATGATGTAGATCCTTTTTTTTTTTCTCAAATAAAGCCAGAAAATGTGTTAGTCCTACAAACAACAGACACTATGTGAAATATTTTGGACAGTGCTATCTAGTCCTGTAGGTAATGCTAAATGCAGGAAGATCTTTCCATTCTCAAGCTTGCTAAGCATCATGACATACACCTGTAACCTAATACTCAGGTGGCAGAAGCAAGAGGATCAAGAGTTCAAAGCCAATCTGGGCTGCATGAGAACTTGTCTCAGAAAAGAAGTAGTGTTAAGGAAATACCTCATGGTAGAGCACTTGCCTAGCATGTGTGGGGCCCAGATGCTACTCATTTT